TTAAGTAGGTATAACCATAACTCCCATAAAGTAGCTATAACCATAACTCCTATAAAGTAGGTATAACCATAACTCCTATAAAGTAGGTATAACTATAACTCCTATAAAGTAGGTATATCCATAACTCCTATAAAGTAGGTATAACTATAACTCCTATAAAGTAGGTATATCCATAACTCCTATAAAGTAGGTATATCCATAACTCCTATAAAGTAGGTATAACTATAACTCCTATAAAGTAGGTATAACCGTAACTCCTATAAAGTAGCTATAACTATAACTCCTATAAAGTAGGTATAACCATAACTCCTATAAAGTAGGTATAACCATAACTCCTATAAAGTAGGTATAACTATGACTCCTATAAAGTAGGTATAACCGTAACTCCTATAAAGTAGCTATAACCATAACTCCTATAAAGTAGGTATAACTATAACTCCTATAAAGTAGGTATAACCATAACTCTTTTTCCTTTTGTTAGTTTTACCCTGTTTTTTATACTTCCTAATCTGTGTTAACGTTAATTTTCTCTAAGTTAATTACCTTTAATTGTTATTATGATCGGTTACATTCTAAACTAGATTTAGTTCAACTCATAGTGCTGTAGTGTTTTCTGTTCGTTCTTTCCATGTGAAAAACTAACTATTCAGCATCGCACTAATATTTTCTCCGTGTTCTGTCGCACTAAGAAAGTTAATTTACAGCTTCTGTTTGTTCTTAATCCAAGTCTATTAAAATGTAACCTAGTTTCCTGAAATTATGAAATATTACATAAATTAATGAAACAAAAACAATATTGTAGAAAAATATGTATATTTGTTTATTTTAACTGTAATTTACCCAGCCATTCAGATCTAGAGTTATACACCCAAAGTTCTAAATTTTGCGTTCTTGATATGGAACCCTCCTGGTTAGTAAAGAAAATAACTGTCAGAATAGCCTCGAGCAGCCCAAGTTGTCCCATCTCCGCTTTTTATTATATATGTTCCAGTTCTTATAATTTATTTTAGAGTTCGAAGTGTGAGATCCTTAGCGCATCCGGGTGTGACGAATCTTAGAAGGTAGCGTCTGCAAGGTTACGCTTAGGAAAATATGTTTCTACATAACATGCTTCATTCAGAATGAGTCATCTCAAGGAAACTTCTAAAGATTTGTGTCATACAACCAGTTTGTTTCGTGGGTTCAAGGTCACAGTACTAATGATGAGAACCTCCAACAACTAGTAGCTTCCGGGATGAACGAACTTCACTTGAAAACTAGTAAGATAATAAATAAACACCGGTGTATTTTAACAATACGTCTTTATTGAGATAAAACTTTCAGGTGCTCTTGCATGTATGAGTTGAATTTAAAAACTAGATAGCACACATTAGTGTTTCATTTTATATATACAATTATATTTATATATTTGATCCTAAACTTATAAAAAGTTCCAAGGTTATAAATATATTTTGGATTTTTACTCCAAGGTTCTTATTTTATTTTCATTTTTTCAGTTGTATAACATTTTTTCTTCTGTTTTTGGTCTTACGTTAATCCAAAATAGATATAAGTTACTCAAACTTGTATACTGCACAAAACATTGGGTTCATTGTTAAGCAAATCAGTCATCTTACGGCTTGTCATGCGATCTGAAATACAAGCAAATCAGCCATATTATGGTTTGTCATGCGATCTGAAATGCTAACGGTTCGTCATTTAACCTAAAGTTTAAATGGCCATAGAAGTGGCGTTATATATATGATTATATCACAGTTCACTTAAGTAATAGCCTGATGTTACATATCCGAGATCAACGATGATAAAATCATGGTACATCCATAAACACTTATATGGCAGAGCTGTATCCAGGGGTTCTTTAGTGTTTGAAGTCATTGATAGGATAGGATGCTTCTCCCTAGAGTCCTAGACCATTATGTTCATGGTAGATCTCCAAACGCTTATGTGGCAGAGCTGTTTCCAGAGCACCTTTAGTTTCTGGAGTCACTGATAGGATAGGATGCTCTTCCCGAGAACACCGTGTCTTTCGTGATGGAACTGACGTCTGGTTCAGCCACATCATTTTATTCAACAAAGAAATCTATTGAATAGTTCAACAGAATATGAAAATGGTGCTGAATTTGGCTTCACTTTTACACAAAGTAAAGTTACGTCCAATATCTGCTGCAGATTGAATTAAAAACCATGTGTAAAAAACTTTATATCTCTCCAACTGTTGTTTGTCCACTGGACGACGTTCTTCATGGTGGGCAAGCTATTTTGTCATATACTGCAGGTTGAGTGAGATTCACTGTAAAAAGAATATCTCTCCAACTATTGTTTGTCCACTGGACGACGTTCTTTTAATCTCACTCAACCTGCAGTATATGACAAAATAGCTGCCCACCATGAGAGATATTCTTTTTACACATGAATCTCACTCAACCTGCAGTATATGACAAAATAACTTGCCCACCATGAAGAACGTCGTCCAGTTGACAAACAACAGTTGGGGAGATATTCTTTTTTACAGATGAAGAACGTCGTCCAGTGGACAAACAATAGTTGGCACCATAATGAGCAAACCGTGTTATGAGGAAAACGCACATATTTGGGTGAATAGCGTAAAAATCAGCCTTTTGGAGCTTGTTTCTAGTCACCTGTACACTTACGTGGCATTCAACTGTGGCTGCGAGCATCTGATTTAGTCTCAGAGCAGTTACCCGTTGGTTACTTGTGTTGGAAATAATGGTCTGCTTTGCCCTGGTGTCTATCCACATTCTGCTAGAGATACTATGAGGCACTTTAGCTTGCAAGAAACTAGTTTCTAATCGCTCGATACCTTTACACATGAGTAAAATATCCAAATGCCTTCTTTATTATAATGACCAGCAGACCATAACTGAATTACTATGAAATGCAAAATAATTTACATTGTTTCTGATATTTCGTGTAAAGCCTTTGAATATAAGTGGATTCTGATGTGTCAAGTTAAGCTTTTGAATGATAGAATTTATATAGAATCTGATGTGTTGTGTACAATGAAGTTTTGATTAATAAATCTAAAACGACAGTGACATTTTTTATTTCAAAATACAAATGGACAAACATTCAATGAACAACCATTTTACTTAGACTATAAATAAATAAATAAGGAATGCATGACATTTCCAAAACTTTTCAGTCTCTCAAAGAATAGTTACAGTTTAATAAATTGGTAGTTTTGAAGACGACTTACAATTTATAAAAACAAAAGTATAAAATATTAAAAGTTAAGATACGTGAATGTTTTAGAAGTTCCACACGTCACTGAGTGTCCAAAATGTTCCTAAACGATGAGAAACAAGTGTTGCAGTATGTGAGACAATCATAAATTAAACAATTAACACGACCTACTTACTGAAGAATGAAAATACATCCAACTACATTTTGTCTTATGGAAATGCTCTTTATTCTGCTATAAGAGCTAATGTTATCTTTAACACGCTGACAACGTATGAAAGATTTGTTAAATTTACTAGTTAAAGGATGTCCAGACAGTAACCAGAAACTTAACTTACCAAAATTATTTTAATGTTTGTTTATGGAAAATTACATGATTTTTAACAAAACATATATTTCATATCAGTTTTGGTGACAAAATTATCTCTCTCTCTCTCTTGTTTTGCAACTTAAAAAGTTGTTTTGTCGTCAATACAATAAGACGAAATATTTGTGTACTTATAGTTTAACACAAGGTTGCACAATGGGCTGTTTGTGTTGTTTTAATTGCTGGGATCTAATCTAGAGTTTTATCATTATAAGCTCTCAAGCTTACTGTTGAGTTATTTCAAACCACATATGTGTTATCACCGGGTAGGAATGGTTATTTCAAACCACAGATGTGTTATCATTAAGTAGGAATTGTTATTTTCAAACCACAGATATGTTATCATTAGGCAGGAATGATTATTTCAAACCATAAATGTGTTATAATTAGGTAGATTAGTTAATCCAGGAAAGTTTATCTTGAGTTGCCGATGTTTTCAATTCTTTGCATTGTGCCACAAAAACTCCAACAACAATAATTACTTGCAGTAAAAACTAAAGGATTTCAATTTGCAGCTGCAATTAGTTTCATGTTCCTTTAGTTTTCGTTTGTTTGATAGATTTGTTATGAGATCTTACACGGAGGGTAAATTGATTAAATCGACTGGAAAGGTCGTAGTTTGAATCTTTTGGAAGAAAATTAAGTGCTTATTTGAGCACTAAGGTTAGTCAGAGTTTATGAAAAGCTGAGGTGAATAATTTAACTTGGAAGTTAATTTCATGTCAAATAATCAAACGCAAACATTATTGTCTGACTCGCTGGTTCTGAAAAAATGATTCTAAAATTACTTTTACAGCTAATTATTACGTTTGTTCAGCTAACAGGCTAGTTTTACTTGTGTTCAAAGGAAATATAATTATGATTATTACAAGCTTTATAAATAATCATCAACATAAATAGGTTAATAGAAAAACATCGGCAAATGGAGCTTTGCAAGGCTTAAGATACGTTTGGCATCTTTATTCTTTCATTATGAAAAACTTGTGTGTAAAGTTGTAAAGTCTTTCACTCACTCATGAATATAAAAATATACAACAATAACAAACGTCCAATCAATTCTCCTTAGCTCCTATCCTAGTTTAAGAAAAATAATGTACCGTAACATTTACTGAGATTAGTTATGTATTATACAAAAATATACGAAAACCTACCGGTATTTAAAAGGATCAAGTTGTACGATGATATCATCAAAACATACACGGAAGTTGTGTATAACGTAACGAAAATCCAGTTTGAGAGTTCCTAGAATTCAGAGTTGCGTTTCCATTGCTTTTTACTCGTAGGATAAATGGTTTAACTTGAGCTGAAATTAATCAATTAGAAAAAATAACAATGTACGAGTTTATAAGCACGAACCATAAAATAACGAAACCTATTTATCTACCAAGTGGGCAGATTTCATTGTTTAAACAATAACTAACTGTAGGTGTAGTCATTTCTTAATTTTTCAGTTTAATGGACAGAAACATAAGCATAAACATTGTAAACTATCTATCTCTCGATAAACTGGGTAGATTTCAAAAACTTGTTATTTAAGTTTGAGTTGTTAGTTGCTGGATTATTAAAGGATGACAATATGTAAGGAATTTAAATAAAGTTAATGAACATATTTAGTCAAAAAGAGCATTTATATTTAACAAATTATTTTGTTTGTTGTTAAGCAAAAGTTGCACAATGAGCTAACTGTGCTCTGCCCACCGCGGGTATCGAAACCCGTTTTAAGCCCACTATGCCTCCGAAAGGCACATATAACAACAGTCACTAAAACTTCAAGTACTAATACTCTCATGAAGAATATCTACATACAATAATATCGAGGCCCTGGAAGAAATTTTTGCACAAAGATATCTTTGTGCGACCTTAATTTTGAACTTATAGAAGACAACAAGTCAACAACACCCACCGTCAGCAGTTGAGCTACTTTTTTCTGGTCATTGAATATGATACAAAGTGTGATGCACTCCTTTCCGCGAAAAAAGTCGTGAATTCTTGGACTCACAACTCGGGCACACTGACCATTGGGCAACTTATTTAAAGACGTGAATTCTTGGACTCACAACTCGGGCACACTGACCATTAGGCAACTTATTTAAAGACGTGAATTCTTGGACTCACAACTCGGGCACACTAACCATCAGGCAACTCTTTTAAAGTCGTGAATTCTTGGACTCACAACTCGGGCACACTAACCATTAGGCAACTCTTTTAAAGTCGTGAATTCTTGGACTCACAACTCGGGCACAGTAACCATTAGGCAACTCTTTTAAAGTCGTGAATTCTTGGACTCACAACTCGGGCACACTAACCATTAGGCAACTCTTTCTTAATATGGGACTCTGGAAATGGTTTACCAAATTTATTTCGCTAAACAAGACTTTTGGAGGGTAAAACATATGATATATATAAAACCTTTCATTTTCAAAAGTGAACATCGACTTGCGAAATTAGAATTTTTCTGAAAAAGTGAAAACTGCAATCGGATCTAAACTTTCCTTAGGGGTTGGTTCTTCAGTTAAGTAGATTTGACCTTATGTTTCTATTTAAACTTTCCTTAAGGGTTGATTCTTCAGTTACGTAGATTTGACCTTATGTTTCTATTTAAACTTTCCTTAAGGGTTGATTCTTCAGTTAAGTAGATTTGACCTTATGTTTCTATTTAAACTTTCCTTAAGGGTTGATTCTTCAGTTACATAGATTTGACCTTATGTTTCTATTTAAACTTTCCTTAGGGGTTGATTCTTCAGCTACGTAGATTTGACCCTATGTTTCTGTTTAAGGGTTGATTATTTTGTTACGTGGATTCAACGCCGTGATTCTGCTTAATGGTGGATTATTCAGATCCCACGTCACTATTCTCACCTGCCTTCAATTTACACTCCTCCCCCAAAAAATTCAACTTCAGAGGGCGTTGCATTAATGCAGACATTTGGAAATCGGTGCTACCGAAATAGATGGAAACGAAAAGATTTCGAGTTGTGTGAGGCGGTACCTAGTGCCAAATTTCCCAATTACAGCAATGGAGTCGAAGTAGTTTATTAGTTTTGAATCCTTCCAGTTTTTACTTCTGAAAATCGTTCAATAATTGATTTATGTAATGTATACTTACAGATGATAACGTTCTTGCTTAACAACCTTGTGCCACAGAAGCGGTCTTCTCCAACTACGAGACCTGTAGTCGAGCCTTGGTAGATCTCAATGAAATCGTCGTCATTACACTGACGTCCTTCTGCCCCTCCATTGAACGGGCTGCCCCACGAGAAGCTGTCTGAGGGTTGTGTCTCCCACTTGATGGAGCAAAAGTTCTCTTCTACACGAATACAGACGGAGTAGCGCAGATTGCTCAAGTATCGCACGTTCCCTTTAGTTGGCGGCCCCCAGTTAAAGCTCCGTACCAGCTCACTCGAACTGCGGTAGTACTGCAAGCAGCCGGTAGGAGCTATGGAAAATAAACTCTTCTCCTATATCTAGGTTTAACATTGTATTGTAATATTCATTCTGAGATGGGAATAACAAATTGCACTACAGACATATATATACACAGTTACTTATCCTAATTATCTTAAATTAGAAGCGCAAACTTTATAACTAGGTTCACAATAATTACCATAACTTTATAAATCATGTTTTTCGTATATTTGTATTAAGTATAAGTAGAATAAAACACCTTCAACTTCTTTAATATGCAAAAATATTCAGGCTATTTCGTGGTAATGTTCGATATACTGGCCATATTAATCATGTTTCTATATATTTATGGTTCGAAATATTCATATTTATATATAAAAAAAAATCCCTTTATTGTTTTGAATAAATGTGTAGTACTTACGTTTCCATAAACATTGATTTACACATGTTAATCATACGTTTAGGTGACTGTATCAGAGTTATACTTAGATGTTTTAATGTTTTTAATATAGCAAGGTTTACATATGTTAAAACGTCTAAGTATAACCCTGATACAGTCACTTAAACGTATGATTGCTATATTAAAAACATTTAAACGTATGATTAACATGTGTAAACCTACCAATATCTATATGGTTCACTCTAGATATAAAAATTAACATCGGGAAATCTAGAGAAAAATATGCACGACTAATATCTACATGGTTCACTCTAGGTATAAAAATTAACATCGGGAAATCTAGAGAAAAATATGCATGACTAATATCTATATGGTTCACTCTAGATATACGAAAAATATTAGTGTGATTAATATGAACTTGATATAGGGAAAAACCTAAATCTTGAAGGAGAGAAATGTAAAACTTGAAGCAAGTAAAAACTGTTATATTCATTTGTGAGGCTACAGGTGATTATACTTATGTGAGTAAATCTCACTACGATAAAACATCTAAGTATAACCCTGATACAGTCACTTAAACGTATGATGGATATATGTAAACCTAGCTATATTAAAAACATTAAAACGTCTAAGTATAAACCTGATACAGTCACATAAACGTATGATGAATATATGTAAACCTTGCTATATTAAAAACATTAAAACGTCTAAGTATAACCTTGATACAGTCACCTAAACGTATGATTAACATGTGTAAACCTAGCTATATTAGAAACATTAAAACGTCTAAGTATAACCTTGATACAGTCACCTCATGCATATTTTTCTCTAGATTTCCCGATGTTAATTTTTATATCTAGAGTGAACCATATAGACATTAGTCATGCATATTTTCCTCTAGATTTCCCGATGTTAATTTTTATATCTAGAGTGAACCATATAGATATTAGTCATGCATATTTTTCTCTAGATTTCCCGATGTTAATTTTTATACCTAGAGTGAACCATGTAGATATTAGTCGTGCATATTTTCCTCTAGATTTCCCGATGTTAATTTTTATATCTAGAGTGAACCATATAGACATTAGTCATGCATATTTTTCTCTAGATTTCCTGATGTTAATTTTTACATCTAGAGTGAACCATATATATATTAATGTAGAGAGAATAAATTCATTTAGATTTATTTTCTTGTTTCTAGGCCTAAATATACCTAAATACATGCTATGTACCTCTATATACGATACAGCCTTAGTTCAGCTAAATATTTTAATTTTAACCCAACGATGTTACTCTCAATTTTGTAACTCAAATAAATGCAGAGTGTTTAATTTTCTAAAACTAAGCATGACTGGATATTGTTTAAGTATAATTAATGGATCCTAACAGAAAAAAAACAAAAAAAACAGGTAACTTTACAATTAGCAAAGCAAAAACCTGGTGCCCAGGGTTAATTGTTTTTATACGTGTTAACATCACATAAATCATGTCAGCTTTATGTACACCTACATCAAGCCTCAAAGGTAGCTGTTTTAAACCAGCTTATTTTATACACGGCATCATTCCACAAAATACTTGGGGGGGGGGGGCTGACATTACGTAACCCCTCCTAATTCAACTGGGGACTCCATGCTATGGCGTAAGTTGAGTCCGCCAGACTAGAAATGTCTTTCAGAAACTGGCGTACTGCCCTCCCTCCAATAATGCCCCTTCATACGCAATAATATTAGTCTCGCTAAAACTTAATCATCTATTATGCACACTTGATTATAATAATTAATAGAAATTCATATTATTTCTAATATATAATATAGAAAATTAGAATAGTTAATGTTTTTACCCATATCCAAACTTTGGCATTTGATCTTGCTAATCTTTATCTTCCATCTTCTTGTCATTTTGTTTCCGTTGCTAACAACACTTAGAACCACTGGATTTCCCGATTCTCTTCCCATGTCAATATACACTGTTTAGGAAATACACATTAGTCTGAATAGATTTTGTAAAGACAATTATGTTATGTATTATTATTTCGGTTCATGTTTTCTCTCTTGCTATTAAATGAAATAATTTGATTTTTAGTTCGTGGTTAACTGATAGTTCGTTACACAAAACTGTTCTGTACCAAAGAAATCAAGTTTATTAATGAATTCTCTATGAATAAAAACGTTTTAATTCGGCAATATTTCAGTGTGTTGCAGTAACCGCCATAAGACTTGTACGTCTTTGTTTTGATGAAAAATTTAATTTCAAAAGTCACAAATGTGATTAAATCTTTCTATTGCCACATATAGTAGACGTTTGTCTGGGAGAAGCCAAGAAATGTAGGTTAGAGTAAACTTTGGTTGGGGAAAAGCTAAGAAAAGTAGGATAAGGTAGAAGTTTGTTTGAGGGGAGTTGATGAGTGCAGGATATATTAGACATTTGTCTGGAAGAAGCGAAGGAATATTGGATAGAGTAGTTTGATTTGGGACAGGCTAATGAATTTAACCTACAGTGAATTTGCTTTAATGTAGACTTTAGTGCAATATGGTTTGGGACATGTTAAGGAGGACAAATTTCACCTAGAATAAGATCATCTGTAACAAAATATGAAGAAAACTGAAAGCCTTAGAACAAAACAGAATTGAAATTCCACTGTACTCACTGTGTTGTCCACCGTTATCTCCGCACAATATCATAGTTCTTTCTCCAACTGTGGACCTAACCATGAACGAGTCTGTTGTACACTGACCGTTCTTGTCTGGCTGTGCGAGGTTGAATTCAATCAAATCTAGTCGTAGTTGACAAATATCTTCATCCTTTTCAACGGTCACTTGACAGGTGTTAGTTCCGTTTTCACCATGAAACGGGTAGTTTGGGTTCACGAATACAGTCTCGTTTTTAGACGTGGATCCTCCACACGTAAATTTCTCTGTAAGAGTTGAAACCATGAAGTAAAAAAGATTAAAACAGACAAAGAAACCGCTGAATTAATTGAAACCATGAAGTAAAGAAGATGAAAACAGACAAAGAACCGTTGTATTAATTGAAATCATGGCGTAAAGAAGATGAAACAGACAAAGAAACGGTTGGCTAGGTTGAAACCATGACCTAAAGAAGATGGAAACAGACAAATACATAGTTGGTTTAGATGAAACCATGACGTACAGAAGATGGAAACAAACAAAGAAACCGCTGAATTAGTTGAAACCATGACGTACAGAAGATGGAAACAGACAGAGAAACCGCTGAATTAGTTGAAACCATGACGTACAGAAGATGAAAACAAACAAAGAAACAGTTAGTTTAGATGAAACCATGACGTACAAAAGATGGAAACAAAGAAACAGTTGGCTTAGTTGAAACCATGAAGTACAGAAGATGGAAACAGACAGAGAAACCGCTGAATTAGTTGAAACCATGACATAAAGAAGATGAAAAGAAAGAAACAATTAGCTTTTTTTAAACATAGAACATTAGGTGTTTCGAATCTCGGTTAAAAACCTGTTGTTGCTGTTACTTTAAACTTCCCGTAACTCTATATGGTTGTTCAACTTTAATCCTATAGTATTTGACACGAATTAATGGAACACTATTCTTGCCAAATGGTAATACATTCATTATATTCCAGGGAGGGTAAGAAAGTGCTACTGTTAACTTGACAACAACTTGATGTTAAAAGAACCATTTCGTGATACTTTATGATGTTAAAAAAACAATTTCGTGATACTTTATGATGTTAAAAGAACCATTTCGTGATACTTTATGATGTTAAAAGAACCATTCGTGATACTTTATGAGAGTTTTTACTTCACTATTTTGTTCCACGATAGTTGATCTCTATTATTTTTATGTTATTTTTGTTGGAATGTGCTTTACAAACTACAGGGAGTTACACACTGTCTATATATTATAAGTCCCTTAGATAAATAGTTATATATACATACTGACCACAAAAATATCGATATTAAGAACAAGTAACATAAAATACTGCTTTAATAACTAAATTATTTAAATTTTATGCACTCTTTGCTATTATATATTTATTTTATATTTTCAAGAATATGTAAACTATCTGTGTGGTGTTTATGATATATTTACTATTATATTGTTATAAGATATATTTTTGATATTTTAATTTATATGTTTGTTTGCTATAGGGTTCATGGCGCAATATCTAGAAAGTTCATGAAAGTTGGGCCTTTGTGGAGTCTACAAGTTTTATTCGATATAAGTACGAGAATCAGTGAAGTGATTAGTGAGTGATTCAGTTCGATGTTAGTAACAAGAGTTATCGCATGTAATCATTTACTCGATTGATTAGCCGAGGAATTCTACAATTATGTTTATAAGTAAGTTAGGTGTACGTAACATCAGTCTCGGAAATTATGTTGAAACGTGTTTTTTTTTTAAACTTAGACCTCCAGCTCGTTTTAAAGTGAACGTAGCATGTAACAAATGTAATTGAAAATATTA